GCAGGCACAGAATTCCCTGTGAAAGCACCATCCCCTCTGACTGCTGCTTCCAGATCCCACTGGAAGTGTGAGGAGACAGGGAGCTGAATTCACTATTGGAAATCCAATTCATTTTGGGTTTTTTTAATGTCTTTTATGATGAGGTTTTTCATCCCACCTGCCGAATTCTGATGTGGACAGATAGCCTGTCCTCCTCCTTCCATACAAATTGGGTGTCTGAAGTTGGCTCCTTTCCTAGGCAGCCAAATTCCATGTGCTTTCTCAGAGTCCTGCAGCCAGTTCTCCAGAGCTAAAAATGCAGGAAGAGGGCACCAAACAGGAGCTATTTTGGACTTGAGGTCACTTATATTTACTTGGCCAGGCTGGAGATCTGCCAAAGCCAAACCAGAATGGCAGGAACACTGACTGCAACCCAGCCTGCTTCCTGAAGAATCCAGAGAGGGCAAGGATGCAAACAAGGCAGCTTTCCTGGCTGATGTAAGCAGGGAATAGTTCTTCCTATCCTAAATTCTCATGTCCTTTTTGACAGCAGAACTAAGGAGGTTATGTGGGGTAAGGTTTTGGAGATACCAAAACCTTGAACATCCCAGGGAATTTGTTCCTTGTCTGTGACGTGGATCTCTGTGGGTGAGTGATGAGAGGGCTCTGGGAGATCCACCTGTGTCTCAGCCTGATCCCAGTGGTCTGGAAGGCACCTGTTAGACCAGCAGGTCTTGGATGTCTCTATTTTTGAGTGCACACAGGCAGTTTCCATCCTGCAGAGCTGCAGGAATTCCTGCTGCAGCACCTGGAGGATCTGCCACAAGGGAATGGCAACGGCTGGCTGGGGTCAGTGCTTCCCTCAGGGAGGGCAGGTGCTCTGGAAAGGGAAGGAAGAATGGAAGGCAGCCAGGTTCAGGTTCTGGATGAGTGCTCCAGCTCTGCCCACCCTGGTGGTATCACCAGCTCCTTACAGTCTCTCTTTCCATATTTTCATTAAATTCATAGAATGTCCCTGTGCGTGACCCCAGCCCTCTGCCACACTTCCCTGATGGGAATCATCACAAACATTTTAGGGGGAATGTGTGTGGATCCATGCAGAGCCTGCATGTGCCAGCTCTATTTCTACATGAGAGCAGGATGAACCTGAATTCCTACAAATTCCTGTAGAATTCCTACAAAGCTCTGGGAAATCTCCTTTCCGGCTGCCTTTTCCACCCAAATCTGGAAAGCTCAGGTGACACCCACAATCCTCTGCTGGAGCTCTCAGTGTACTCTCCATGCCAGGCTGCATGTGAGCCCAGGTGGGAGCTGGGATGTGACTGGGATCTGGGAAGCAGCGTGGGAGAGACTCGGAGCTGGGAAGAAGACTGGCAGGAAATGGGAGTGAGTAAATCAGCCGAGCTCGCCTGAGTTGTGACTAAAGGGGGAGCGTGAGACATCTGCAAATATTAGAGATGTGTAAACACGGAGCAGGGAGAGGGAATGGTGGAGGGAATGATTGAAGGGAGTGAACTTTTGGATGGAAAAATGTAGGTCAAGTATGAAGGAAAACTTGTAGGCAGCGAAATAAGTGCTGTAAAACAACCTCCTTGGGAAACACGAGGAAGTCCCACTGATGGAGATGTTTATCCTAAGGCAGATGAGGGCTGGAAAAGAGGCTGAGCTGGAGGAGTGGATTCAGGGTGTCCATCCCAGATGGGGCTGGGCACACCAGTGGTGTCCATCCAGCTCCTTCTATGTTCGTAATTCCCCTTTAAACTACAGGCTGGTTGTGGTTTAGTTAATCCATCTGGATTTTAATCCTGAAAACTTCATGGCTTTGGGAGAAATCCACCCACCTGACTTCAGCCAGTTCAAATTCAGGCAGGTCATCCACCCCAGCTCTCCAAAACCAAGGATGGTCACCAGGGGAAGGAGAAGCTTGTCCAGTCCCTTGCTGCCAGATGCTCTGAGGGTCGGGGTATTCTCAGGAAATCCCTCCTTGTTGTTCTAAAGGCAGCCCAAATAATTAAGTTAATTAATAAGGCTCTCTCTGTTTTGCTCCAGATTACACTGGAGTGTGTCTGGAACATGTGGAAACAACAGCGTCATGTCCGGGCAGGGATTTGTTGATTGCTCAGACTGGAATAAGGATATGGCCTGTCTGGATAAATCCTGGCAGTCAGTGAGTGCTTTGGAGCCCATTTTACACCCTCTGGTGGTGTGTTCCATCAGTGGAAGGTGCCACTGTCCCCTGAGCTCTATCACCACCTTTTACATCCTGTTGAGGTTCCATAGCAGCAGTGACAGGTCCTGCTTTCCCAACAGAGAAAAACTCTTGGTCCTTGCAGAGGGCCATGTGCCACCCACTGAGGGGTCCTGCTGTGTCCTCCTTGCTGCCCCTGTCTCTCCTTGATCCTGACACTGTTCCCAAGGGAGCAGAGGTCATCAGGGAGGGCATGTGTTGCAGTGGGGGTTGTGGCCCCTCTGGAGCATGGCCTCTTCCTCCTTGGATCTAGGGAATCAGCTCAGGCTGATCGTGGAGTCACGGAATGGTTTGGGTTGGAAGGGACCTCAAACCCATCCCATCCCACCTCCTGCCACAGCCAGGGACACCTTCCACTATCCCAGGGTGCTGGCCCTGAACACTTCCAGGGATGACATGTTCAGGGATGCAGATCCAGACCTGGAAACTCTCCTGCTTGTGTCCTCACATTCTGTAGAGTCATTCCCTCCTCTGGAGCCATTCCACTGTGTCCCACTAATTAACATCCAACAGGACAAGGGGAACAACACCTGCATTCCCACATCTCAGGGGAAAGCCCTGGCCACGGTACTGGGGACTGCTCCAAAATGTTCACTCCATAAATTGTGTCCTGGTACCCATTAAACTTTTTGGGATAAAAGTTTCACCAAAGCTAACACAATTCTGTGAAAATTCTGGGTTTCATGATTTGGCATTTTCCAGGGAAAAAAAAAAAAAAAGCCAAACTAAAATAACTTGCCAGGAATTTCCCAACCATCTTTAATCCTGAGACACCACCATGGTCCAAACAAAGGAAACGTGGGGAAACAAAGAAGTGATGGGTTTAAAGCCTCCAGAAAATTAAAATGCAGCTGGAAGGAGAAGCACAGGGTTTCTTTAAGCATGCAAAGGAGGGGAAACTCATTCCCTTTGAATCACAGGGAGCCCTTTCTAGCTGGTTTCAAAGGAAGTTGGATGTGGTCATGGAATGACCATATTTCTAGGTTTCAAAGACGTGTTTGCTAAGAAAGGCAGGACCCTCTCTTTGAAATGGAAAATGTAAACCCCCTCCCTCCAAATGATTATAATTTTGAAATTAAGGGACTCTCAGGCAAAGATATGGGAATAACAGTTCTTTACTAGGAAAAACTGAAATAGAAATACAGTATTACAAAGAACAAACCCAAAAGACTGACAGTCAGAATACAACCTGACACCCCATCAGTCAGGGTGTTGGTAGGAGTCCCGTTAAATGGTGGCTGCAATCCTGCAGTGACAGATGTGGTTCTGTGCTCCTGGAGAAGGGTGCAGTTTTCCTCCAAATGTCCAGTGATGATGTAGAAGGGTCTGGTTTTCCTCTGGAATCCAGTGGGAAAAGGCTGCTTTGGTGTTCCAAATCTCAGATTTTATCTAGGTAGGAAATGTTTGGCTCCTCACCCTGGGTGGAGCATCTCACAATGGGATGATGGAATTTTATCAGTCATGCAGTGGCCCATTAACAGGAGATGTCTCCCTGGAGGAAGGATGGGTTGTGGAAAAGATAAGGATGACTGCCCCACCTGGTTTAACAGATGGCCCATTAGCAGAGAATATCTCCCACAGAGATAAGGATCACTGCCCCACCTGGTTTGAACAGATAGTGATAGAATACATACTTCTGGTCACATCCTGCACTGCAACCCAAGACCCATGGTGCTGTCACTTGTACCCACGTGAGTTCATGGATGAGCTGGAAGTGCCACAGGTTCTTTCCAGCCTGAGGAATGATGCACACCAGGAGAAATGAGAGCTCTCCCTCCCTCTCTGCTACAGCCAGTGGAGACAAACGACTTCCCCTATGCCTGATGCTGGAGATAAGGGAAATTTGGGAATACGGTTGTAACTGAGGCCATGTGCCCAGCGGTCTGCCATGGGTGCAAGCACATGGAGGCTGGAAGGGAAGAGGGAAACCCAGGACTGGACAGGCTGGAGAAACAGGGAATGTGGAACAGCCTTGCAGTCACAGCTAAACCCCCAGGGTGCTCTTCCTTCTGGAAATGTTGCCAAGAGCAGCTTGAAGTATCAGGAAGGTGATCAGAGCACATGGAGACACCTGACCACTGGTGCATCCCCGTGCCAGAACATCCATGGAAAATGAACAAGTTTCACCCTTGAGCCAAAAGAAATGGCACAGCAGAAGTTCCAGATGTCAGGGAATTGGGAATCTCTCCCAGGACCTGGTGGGGAAGGTGAGGAAGGTGTTAATTGGTGGCAGAGAGGGACAAGCCTGAGGTGCAGTGGCTGCATGTGCTGCATCCCAGCTGGTTCTGTCCAGCAGCTTTTCCAGCAGGAAATTTCCAGTAAAGACCAGCCCATGATGTGTCTTGCTGTCCAGAGCTGATGGGAGCCAAGGCACTTTAGAGGAGGTGAGAATCCCTCCCCTTCCCAGGAGAGCAGTGGGATGTCTTGGGGATGAGGAGGATGCTCTGGGACGGGTGATAAGCAGCATTTGAATTTTGTGTCAGACTGAACTCTTGGGTGACTGACGTTGGCAGAATCTGTCACGGTGCCTGTCTGTGGGGGACATTATTCCATGTGGTAATTGGCTTTATTTTTGTGGTGGATTTAGCTGGATAGCGAGTTCCACCATTGTTACACTCCAGCGGGTTGTTTGAATCCATCAGCTGTTCAACAAATGACTCCAACACACATTTCCCACAAGAGCTGAGAGCTCTCCCATCCTCTTTCACACTGCGATGCTCCAGCTATCCCAGTGCTTGGGAAGTGACGTGTCCCTCTCCATGATTTCCCCCAGGCTGTCTACAAGGCGTGGCTGTGCTCCGAGTACTTCAACGTGACCCAGCAGCAGTGCCGGCAGCGGATCCCATGCAAGCAATACTGCCTGGAGGTGCAGACCAGGTGCCCCTTCGTGTTACCGGACAATGACGAGCTGATCTATGGAGGTTTGCCTGGCTTCATCTGTACGGGTAAGGAGGGCCGGGCTCACACCGGGCACGGGGGGTGATGGTGAGCCCTGCGGAATTTCCAAGCCACTTCCCGGGTTTGGAAGGCTTGTCTGGGCGGAGTGGGTGTGGAAACATTGCCTGATGCCAAGGGTACGGGATAAGGAGTTAATGGGGATACAGCAACATCTCAGCCCGGGAGGTGAAAGTCCTACCTCTGACTGAAAGCATGGAAGGAGCTGCAGGTGATGGATTAAAGCAGGGTGGGGATATTGAACTGCTGTGAGCAGGATTTGGGGAGCCCTCTGCTCACCTTGCTGGTGTGTGCAGGCTCACAGATGTGCTGTGGCCAGTCCCAGGGGTTGTCTGGGTGTCCTGGTTCTCAGGTGTGCCCATCCCACAACTGGTGGGCACCAGGGCTCATCCTTAATATCCCGCTGACCCCTCCTCCTCCTTACTTCCTTCCCGCAGGGCTGCTGGAGAACCAGCTGCCCGACGAGGAGGCCAAGTGCTGCGAGGTGCAATGGGACTCCTGCGAGCACCCCCCAGACAGCAACGAGGACACATCCCCCAAATCCACGGCGTCAGAGTCGCTCCATTTCCACCGCCACGACCCCCACCTCCATCACCAGAGGCAGAACCACTACCACCTCTACCACCACCACCACCACCAGTACCACCAGCCCCGCTCCCCGTCCTTGCTGCCGGTCTCCGCGGGGTCTCGCCTCGGCAGCAGCAGGATCAGACTGTGCGTGCTGGTCCTGATGCTCCTCCACACCATGGTGTCCTTCTCGAGCGTGCACGGCGGCGGCGCCGGGGGGCTCGGCCTGGAGACCCCACCCGCCCTGGAGGAGAGCGTGGCACGGGACGAGTGACACAGAGGGCAGAGCCGACCTCCAAGGAGAACGCCAGATCTTTTTCCATAAGGGGGGCACATGCTATTCCTCCAATGGGAGGCACGGGATTGGGGGTGGCTCACACGCACCCCCGCACATCCCCCAAGAGCTGCTCGCGCGGGGCATCCCCGTGGTGAAGAGTCTCTAACGCGCACAGGGCTGCGGGACCCGGCGCCAGAAGGGTTCGGGCAGGGGCAGCATTCCCGGCCCCGCAGGAACGGCACGGGGGTGGGGGGACCGAAGGGAGGGGTCCCTTGGATCGAAGGGTGTCCCCATGGGACTGCCGAGTGTCCCCCGGCCGCTGCCGCGAGTGCCTTGGGCGCCCGCGCCTCCCCCTCCCGCGCCTGCCGAGGTTTGACGGTCGGCCCAGCCCAGCCCTCGTTCCTTTTCTCCTGGGTCTGTGAATCCCGAGGGAGCAGGCGGAGGGGCAGCACCTCCCAGCACAGCCTGGCCCACTCCTGTCCCAGGGAAAAGCCGCCGGCTCGGGGCAGGACCAGCCTGGTGGGGCGCAGTGTCCTCAGCTCGGCGCTGCCTCGCTGGTGGCGTTTGGGGACAGGAGTGGGACGCTGCGACACTGCACTGTGGTACCACTCGGGGTTGGTCTCACTGCATCCCAACCTGTTCCTCCAGCCTGGCCTTTCCTGCTCCTCTATGCGAGGAGGAGGAGAGGGAGGAGGCACGGAGCGGGAGAGATGTCCCCAGCATTCCCACATCCCACTTTGCCAAGTGTCCTGATGATTTGGTGTAGCCTTTTTTGTTGTCCTCCCTGGCTGGTGGGACTGGTCTCAGTGAGGAGTTGGGGAGATGTGACTCCAGCAGCACACAGGCTGTGAGGGAGAGGGTTCCCACGTGGCAACAGTTGGATGCAGGGAATCCCAAAGGCATCCTTCCATGCTTCCCAGCTACAAATCATTGACTGGATGGCAGGAGGACTGGGCAAACAGGCTGGAGAAATCTGGCTTGGAGGGAGAGTCTCCCACACAAAGAAGCACTAATAAAGCCCAGCTAGGGAGGAGCATTTTTGTGAATAGTTTCAATCCATGGATGCCCCCAGATCCGGAAATTTCTGGGAGCCCAGCTGGACTTGGCCGGGCAAGGTGCTGGCTGGTGCAGCCTCGTTCGGCTCACTTGGGGTGGTTTTTTAACCTGAGCTCAGCATATCCAGGGTTTCAGCCCCAAACACATCAGATTCCTAAGATCTGATCCCCAGGTCATTTCCTAGGAAACTCACAATTCTCCACCCACCCACCAGAACTGTTCCCAGCATGGACACTGCAAGGTGGTGCCTCCAGGCCAGGCACCAGAGACTGTAATTTGTCCTGGGTGTGGGCAGGGAAGGAGGAGAGAGTGTTTTAGCACAAGGTCAGGAGTTAGATGTGAACCAACTCCCTGCTCCCAAAGGGACTGGGATGGTCCCTCTGTTTCCCAGCTGGCTCTTGACAGGAACCTACAGCAGAGCCCAGCGTGGGTCACTGCAGGAGACAGGGATAGAGCAGGAGGAATGTCCTGCTGCATCCCAAATTGATCCCAGATCCCTGTGAGGGTGCAAGAAGTCTCAGAGTTGATGACCTGTAGGAGTTTTGTGGTTTCTTGTCTGTTGAGGTGAAGCAAAACCAAGCAGAGCCCCGTGAGCAGAGCCCCATGAGCAAAGCTACTTCCTGCCCGGCTGGAAGAAGGAAGTACCAGGCATCTCGTGGGAAGCACAGGTTTCCCGACATTTCCAGCCCATTTCCAGACCAAAGAGGCTCTGAGAAGCAGCTGAATGTTTGATTCCTGCTTTGACTTGAATCTCAGAGCTTTGGGGTGATGTTTACACACCACCAGTTGCCTGTTCCCAAAGTCCTGCAGAGACGAGGCCTGTGATCCCATTGTCCCATGGTTTTTGGGGTGGGAGAAGTGGTGCTCATGGAAGATGGAGAGTGTTTCCCGAGCAGATTCCCTTGCTGTTGCCACCCAAAAAGTAGGATGTCTCTCATTTGACTGTTCCTCGTGACATCCATGTAATTTCAGCCTAGTTTACACTAATCAGAGCAGTTGGACATGGAGCAGTTCTGCAGACCGGGATCCAATCCCTGGGTTTTCTGTGAGCAGTGGGTTGTGGAGCTGCTCTGACAAGGAGCAAAAGCTCCCAGGCAGGCCAGGGGAGGGAGCACAGCCCCATCCCTGCCTCCAGACAGCCGGATCCCAAAGGAAATTAGATTTCTCCTGTACTGCCAAGAGTTAAGCTAATTCCAGGCGCCTCTCTCAGAGATAGACTGTGTCCAATCTTGGAGCTACTCATCGGGAGAGAAAAGAGTAACCCAGTGTCAGCAAGTGGCCCTGAGTCACTGGCCCTGTTCATTGTGTCATATGTGACACTGGGCAGTGCTGGCAGGCACAGGGTGGCCCAGCCTCAGTCCCTGCACCACATCCAGATCCAGCACCATCCTGAGGGATGTGTGTCCTTCTCCCTGCCCCAAAGTCCTTGTGTCCGACTGGTGATGGAGCGTCAGGCCAGGCTTGGGGGTGGTGATGGGTGATGTGGCATTCCCAGAGAAGCTGTGAAAGTGTCCAAGGCCAGGTTGTACAGGGTTTGGAGCAATCTGGTCCAGTAGGAGGTGTCCCTGCCCAGAGCAGAGTGTGAAACAGAATGAGCTTTAAGATCCTTTCAAACTAAAGCATTCTGTGATTTCCACAGAGCTGCAGGAATGAGATCCAACAACCCAACTCATCTTCAGGAGGTGCTGGCAGGGATTGCTGTGAGAAACAGTTTCACCTTCCCTAACACCAGCTGGAGGCTTCCCTTGGGAGGTCAGGAGCTTGCGTTGCATCCCAGTGAATCGGAAAGTGGAGCCATTTCAGAACTGGGCTGGTTTGGGTGGCTTCTGGAGAGGTTTGAGCCTCATCCACTGGGAGTGAGGAGGCCCCCAGGGCAGGAGATCCATGCATTTTCCAGGCCACAGCTCTCAGGGGCTGTTCCCAAAAGGATGAGATGCCAAAGAGAACTCAAGGGATGCAGATCCACTCTGGGAGCGTGGGATAGACTTTACCTGCTGCAAGTGGGAAGAAAGTGCTGAGTCTTCCCAGAGCTAGGCTTTGGAAGGAGATCTTTCCTTTAGCAAGTCTGGGCTGCTGTCAATAAGTTCTGTGGTTTTAGGGCACCATATGCTGCATTCAACACTTTGCCAATCTCCTTAAACGGATCCAGACAAGGCTGTTCCCAGAGCAGGAGCAGCTGGAAGCGGTGTATGGAGCAGTCCATCATCAGGAGCCCGTCGGTTAAAATTCCTGCCTTTGGTCTGACATTACAACCTCCTAATCCTCCATCCCCAAGTGCTCTGGCTTTGCTCTCTGAGACAACAGCCCTAGAAGCAGACAGTGACATTGTCTCACTTAACACCACTGGCATTATTTTTATTACAAAGTGGAGGGAATGTGCCTGGAAAAGGAGGGAGTTTGCTTGGATAAAAAGGAATGTGCCTGGTTAAGGAGGGGAAGGTCTTCCTTACCCTGTGTGCCCAGGGATGCTTTACACCAAGCCCTGTGTCCACCAGAGCAGGGGCCCTTTGCAATCCCAAATGCTTTCCACATTCCCAAAGCCACCTTGGAAAACCCAAGCTCTAAATGATTCATCCTACCAGGAACTTAAACCCAAGGGGCTTTGTCCTTTTCATCCAATGATCATATCTCTTCTCTGTAAAGAAGATGCCCCATGTTGATATTAATGCATAAAACTCAACTTTTCCTTCAGTGGACAAACTTCTCTTTGCTCAGAGAAAATTCCCAGTGGGAAGCAGTGATTCCTCCCTGGTAAGGGGGTTTCTCATCCCCAAGGAAGTGAGGGATGATGATGTTTCCACAAGCTCCAGGTGTGGGCGGAGAGAAGGAGCAATGGGAGCCGGGTCCAGTGCTATTCCCGGGTTTTGCACTTTCATGTAGCTGCCAGTTGTACAAATTAATTAAAAATAACTGAAGAAAAATCCCAAAGAAAGGCCCCGCTTCCTCTGGGGAACATTAATCATTAGCTGAGTCTTTTTCTTATGAAAATACAGATCCATGGTAGCCCCAGGCAGAAGATTCCCAGGGAGAGCCCTCACCATTCGTGCTCGGAGTTAGGGAAATCGCTTTGAAAGCATCTGACAACTAAAGCAGAACATGTTGAGTAACTTGGCAACACTGGGAAAACATCTGGAACTGGTTTTTCTTCAACACATTTTGCTTTGCTTCAAGAGGAGATGTCAGGGCAGTTCATTCACTGCCACTCAGGGCCGCGGGCAGGGCTGGGAGATGCTCGGCTGCCGCCTGGAGGAAGGGAATAAAGGGAAAATCCCAGATAGCTGCTGCTCCTGGGCAGGATGCTGCGAGGCCAGGCCATGGAGTGTCCCTGTGCTAAGTTCTGCAGGTGCCTCCTGGTCTCTGGTGGCACCGAACGTGGTGGTTTGGGATGGGTTGTTGAGTTTGCCTGGGAACGCTGTGTCTGCCCCTTCCCTGGGAGTGTCCAAGGCCAGGCTGGATAGGGCTTGGAGCAACCTGGGCTCCAAGTGGAAAGTGTCCCTGCCCATGCGAGGGGGTGGAACTGGATGGTCTTGAAGGTCCCTTCCAACCCAAACCACTCTGGGATTCCGTGATTTCCAAAGAACCAAAGCAAGTGAGGTCCCATAGCCCAGATTACCCTCATTTTGTGATTCATCCTAATCCCATTCTAGCTGCCATCTGGGAAAGGAATGTCTGTAGGGTTTGGTGAAGACAACGTGAGGACAGAAACATTCCTGGATTCTGAAAGAAAGTGGTGGGGCAGTGTACTAGTTTGAAAGCAAACCAGCAGGAGATTCCAAGTCAGAACTACAATTTAATAGGAAAATTAAAGGCAGTAGGACAGAAACACTGGCTTAGACTGACAAAGTGAGAATACAACCTGACACCCTAGTGGTCAGTGGGGTGGTAGCAGTCTCATTAAATGGTGGCTGCAGTCCTGTTGGAGTGATGGATGTGGTTCTGTTGAAGCAGTAATGCTGTAGAAAGATCTGGTTCTTCTCTGGAGGTCCAGTGGTGGTTTTGGAGCTCCTGTTCTCTGGGAATCCAGTGGTGCTCCCATGGTGTTCCAAGCCTCAGATTATATGCAGGTAGGAATGTTCAGCTCACAATGAGATGATGTGATTTTATGAGTCATTCTGTGAGACCCTTCCTCAACATGTGTCACTTGCTCCTC